AATACTTTCTATGACCAGATATGGAGAGTTCAATATGAAAAAGTGCAAGAGTGGGAAAAAAAGGCCAACATAACAAAGAAGATGATGATGATGATGATGATGAAGGAAATGATGATAATAGTGGTAAATAAAAGGAAAGATACACAGATTATATTTAGATTAAAGCGTCCTTGCTTGTAATTTGGCTTTTTTTAAAAAATTTATATAATCTGTAATAAATTTTCACTGTAATAAATTCTTGTTATATCTTAGAAATATTCTAATTCAAATTTGAACTAAGTGATTTAGAAGGTAATATAAATAATTAAGTTTAACTATTTGTTTAAATTTAGACAACACGAATGGGAGAAATCGATGCGTTATATGTAATCAGATTCATTCTAATCTTCCAACCAAGTTGCAAAAATTACAATATTCGTCAAACATCATAGATCAGTATGAAATCTGTCATTTTTGCCAGTTTGAATCAAGGATCGTACCAGATGGTCTTAGCAAAAATTATCCAAAAAATATTCGTTTCGATCTGCTACCTAATCGTATCAATAAATTTTTATCGCAATTGTTAGAAATCGTAAATAAAAATAGGAAAAGTACTTTTTGGGATTCGGCATTGGATGTTTATAATAAGGCGGGACATAATGGTGCAAGAAAACCGACTTCAGTTATGGCAAGATTTCAGAAATTTTTAGTGTCAATTTTATTATTGTTAATATATATATATTTCCTTCGAATGTTCTAAAATTTTATTAACATTTTAGCCTGGTTACTACGGTTCCAAAGGTGCAAGTATTATCCTTAAGACTCTCATTTCTCTTTTCATTGATTCAAAGAAGTTATCATCGGATATGATAATTCCTCTAAAACCTTTGGATTATCTTGCCGAAGTTCTGGTACCTGAAACTGCTATCAGGCTAATAGCCGAAGATCAGAATATCAAATTAGATGAAGCAAAAAATGTGATGGAAGACAGTGTAGATTTTGGATTGTATGTTCACGATGTAGAGGATGATGATATAGAAGTTCTTGTGAATGAAATAATTCCCAAATCCTTGTAACATTTTTGATATCAGTAATTTTTAATATTCATTTACAATAAATTTGTGATTACTTTTTTTGCAATCCACGATAAATAAAAATTTAACCGCAATCGATTGTACGTGATTGTATGTGATTTCTCAGCGACCATTTGATCAAATTTGATCAGATGGTTGCCGAGAAATCGCGAATACAATCGGACAATTATATCAAATAAACTTTGTCTTTTTTGTAAATTTAAATAGATAAAAAATAACTAAATGGATTTTTTATTCAGTTTATTCTCCGACGGCATTCAGTTGCCGTCGGAGTATGAACTAAATGAGAATTTTAATGTGATCATGTTATAGATCTGACGAAACTATTTTTACCGTTGACAAATTGACTGATACGCATCAATTTTTCTTATTGATGGAATTTCGTCGAAAGAACTGACACAACGCGCGAAGATTCTTTGAATCCTCTACTAAGGAATACAATTTTTTTTTTTAAGCTTAAAAATAGTTAAAAGCTTATAGAAGAAACAATTATTGATATAAACGCCTATTTAGTTTCGAAAGCTTTTTCAACTTATAAAAAATTGTAGAAGTCTTACAATTTTTTATATAGTGCTCAATCAAATAGAATCGGATCAATTTCATGTAAGTGATGATGGTGTAAACAACTAGGGTTAAAAAAATGTCATTTTTTTAAATAAATTAAATTTTAATGATTTTTTTGTTAAAATTTACATATAAAACTTAGTGTGTCATTTATAAGTAACAGCAATAGGAACCCCTGTATAAGGTGTGTGACTGCTATAGAAATCAAAATTTTAATTAGCTAGATCTAATACCTAAATTCCATCTTTACAATATAATTTAATATCGATATTATTGATTTTTTTCTAATTTGTGGGAACACATGTTATTCTCGTCCTAATAAGTAGTTCATTGTTTTTTTCCTGAATTCAATACATTACAGATTAATAGATGAATTTGGTAGACTTCATTATAAATTATACAGTAATAGAAAGTAAAAAATTGAAATACAATAAGAAATACGAAACAAAAAAAACAAATTACAATAATTCTTTAATAATACTGATTTTTCAAACAATACTATGTATTAAATTTTTATCGAATCATAGTATATAAATAAATGAAATAATAGTTTGAATCGTAATCGTAATCTCTTGAATTATGTCTCGCTTAATTCGGCATACGAGAATACATCTTCGTAAATATGGTGACCCCACAGAAAATCTTAATAATTTTTTTGAAAAACAAATAAAAGAACTCAATAGCGAAATCGAACGTTTACGAAATTTAATAAATAAAAATAAAAGTGAATATGACTGCAATATCTGAAATTTACAATTAATATCTACGATGAATATTTATAATTCCTTAAAAAGAAAAGATGAAGAAATAAATAACCTACGTCAACACATAAGAAGTTTAGAGAAAAAAATATTTATTCAAAATGAAAGTCATCACAATTTTAAGATTAATTTAGATGAGAGTGATTCTAGTTTTACTATTAGAATTTTGGATAATAATGAATAAAGATTTAGACAGTTAGCTAATGATCTATTACTCAGCACTTCTGTAATATATCGGTGTTATTAATTACAAATTAATCCTACAAAAATTTTGGTTACCATTACACAATTGGAATAATCCAATGGAATATAAAATGGAATTGGACTAAGTCGAATAAGTTCAATTAATACTAAAATTTTTATTTAGTTTATTCTCCAACGGCATCTAGTTGCTGTCGGAGTATGAACTGAAATTTATATTTAAATAGAGAAAAAAAGTGTAGTAATAAAGATAACAAAATTTTAAAACTTTTTATATGTTTGATCATGTTATAGATGCCTGAGGAAATTATTTTTGCCATTGACGAATTGACAAAACCATAAGTTTGTCATTTATGAACAACGAAACTATACGGTGCTGGGTCACGTTTTTTAAAACTTTTATATTATAGAAACAAATCATAAACTATAAGGTTTATTAATCAAAAATTCTAAAAACAAGATGATGATTAATTGAAGAGCTATATGATAAAATAATACCTTTTCAAGGAAAGAATCCACTAGGGATTGGAACTGCCTAAAATTTTTCTTACTCGTTTAATCGTTTAACCGTTTAAGAGCAGTATGTTTAAATAATATAATTATGATGCTTTATTACATTATTAACTTATTAATTTCAGTGTTGTCTTCAAACATCAAAGTAAGCATGATTATAAGGCTGGCTATCGCATCAGCTAAATATAACCACATAAAAATAAAATTCGCTGCTCGAATCCTACATGCAGTTTTACTTTTTGCAAATTTAAATTCGTACTGACAATCAAATAGGACTGGATCAATTTCATGTATAGTGAAGATGGTGTAAACAACTAGGTTGAAAAATGTTACAAGTTAGATATTAATACTGTAATTAGTCACTCTAAAGTTTTAAAAACTTACTTGGTAGAACAAACCAAGCTACTGATGTAATAATTGTTAAAGCTCTAAAACAAAATGTCCTTATTAATTTTTAATATCTATTACTTCTTAAGAAAATACAAAATCAATTAAAGAATTCATTGAAAGTAGATATAGTACCTAAAGTCTTTCATATTAAAAAAATAACAACAACACATTACAAGAAAACTAATTGCTAAAAAAATATTTATGAGGTATTAATAGTACTGTATTAGTCATTTATTCAAAATTCAAATAAAATAATGAAGTTATTACCAGCTGTTAACCAAGTAAGTGCTATATATCTAAAACATTTATACCCCATTATAAAAATAAAATAACATAATATTAATTATATTATTAAAAAGAAATTTGTTACTTTAGTACTTTTGTTAAAATTAGCTCGTTCTTACAAATATTCAACACCTTTATTATAGTTAAGTTCTCTATTAGAGAACTTTTGCTAGTGCTGTTATTATAAAAAGAACTTAAACACGTCAATTTTGCTTTGATGATAAAAATATGATTATAAGATCTGTATTACTAAGAGCTGGGCAAAGGAATGTAAGAATAAAAAGTTGCAAGAACAATAGTGCCAAACAATATGTTCTTATTTTTCCTTTTGCCATTTCACACTTTTTGAAATTAATTTATCCGTTAAACAACTTTGTTAATATATGGGGCGTTATCTATTAAAACAGCCCTTTTTTGCAATTTTTCGAAAACCGAGTTTTTATTGGATTCTTATAAATTTTGACATAATTGACATTTTTCAATTATAAATAAAAGTCGATTTGCATAATAAAAAATCAAGATAATGTAAAAGAAAAATTACACGAGGCTGTCCAAGTCCAACACATCACGAGATTACTCGATAGTCACCTGTCACCTTTAACCAATCAAAATCGTGAAATTTGATTAATCCCAAATCAGTCTGAAAATCAAAACAAGTGATTAAACTCAATTATCTCAAAATGAGATATATGTAAAAAAGGGCTGTTTTAATTGATAACACCCCATATGTGCATAACAATACACAAGTTCTTTAAACAATACAAAATAAAAATCACTTTTTCTCCTATCTTTTAGATAAAATTATTTATTGTTCATAATCTTGTAACACACTACGTATTTTTTAAAAAGCTAAATAACCATAATGATAATATCTTTTAGTTTAGATCTCACCATTTTTTACCCTTTGATTAATTATTGTATACAATATGTAATGCGTAACAAGTATCAATTACTAGATACGATTATACATAATAGTGGATCTGGTTTAATAAATAATTAGTAAAAATCACGTGAGGTCCACTATTAGTTTATTCAAATTGCTAAATCTTAATTTTTATTATAATATAATGAGTATGTTGATAACTTATTAAGAAGAATTTTTTTTAAAAGATTTTAGTTAATTAAGGCTAAAATTGGTAATGTTGTGTGAAGGTTTTTGATTGTAATTGAATTAGAGCCAAGTAGATCTTTAATTATTATCTTGGTTGAAGTATAATTACTCACTATTTTATTTTTGTGATGCCCATATAGCTAAGATATGAGCTTTGCAAATTTGCTTAATAAAGTATCTTGTAAGAAGTTCTATATAGACTATTCTTATTAAAAAATGTAATAAGTATTATAAAGATTTGTATAGTTAAATAAGAGAAGTAGTAACAGTAGATTTTTTTTTTTGACCTTAAGCAGTTACACTAATTCTTTATTAAGATTCTTGAAACTAAATACATATATAATTATATAGAATTTTTTAATATCTAAGTCTAGCATCACTTGGTCACCCTAATGGTATCTAAGTGCAACCTTCTATACTACGTATCTCAGTTAGAGATAGACTGCTCGTCTAACTACTTAAAGCTATACCAGAAGGGTCTTCCTCCTTCTATGACAAGCATATCAATTGTCTTCCAAGCTTTTTTTTTATTTGATTTGCTTCTTCTCTTTCTCTTTTTCTTTTACTATTTTGTCTTTTCCTTTTCTTTTTGCTAAATTTTCTTCTATCTAAGCACCTTTCTTCATCTTATTTGTTATGTTGGCCTTTTTTTCCCACTCTTGCACTTTTTCATATTGAACTCTCCATATCTGGTCATAGAAAGTATT